AAGAGATCAGAACACAAACCTCTGATACCACTGTAACGGTTGGCCAGCTGAATGCGAAGAGCTGGCAGGATAACTACACACGTTCAGCAACCATGTGCGGAAACCATGGTAGCAAGCGTTCTCAAGCGATGGCGCAGCTCAGAAAAATTGTCGTCTTTCTGCTCAAGACAACTTCTGTCCTCTCGTTGGACAAGTCCCTCAGGACATCCCTCAAGATTTTAGAGTCTTGTTTCTGCCTGCGTTCAGTCAGTCACGAATCGTAGAGAGGCAGTCTTGGGCAGTGCCCATGGCTGCGTCTAGTCATCTCAATGACGTCCTTCCAGCATGGCAAACAGCATACTTCTGACTCCAAAGTAGAGCGTCATGCGCCATGCCAAGCAATCCTGGTCATGCAAAAGACATGCTAGTCTAGTAGCTCTACTTATACTACTGTCGACATGTTCAACAATAATTATTATCGAACATTACTTCGACACCTGCCACGTGTCACAAACGACAGTGGACTTTACTTGCCACATGTCACCACGTGACTGCGGACTTAACCTCGTGCGTTAGAGCGGTTAGACTTAACCATAGCCCAAACGTCACAAGTCTGCTCTAACAGCCAGTCAACCACAGCTCCCTTGCTTATCTCTTTCCCTCTGCGCCTTTAACAAGTCATGTATAGAGCAAAGAATGGTGCTGCTCTCTTAGAGTAAGAGTGACGGTGGGGCTTCTTCCGTCAGCAAGTTTCCTGTGAGAATTCTTTGAATCTGAATTAAGGCTTGGCAGCACGATTCTCCTTTAAGGAAATTGCCTCCATAACTTGCAGATGCTCCTTGCAGCAACTTTTGCTGTCTAGCGGGAGTTACCTGCGTACGTTTGCTGGGGGAGGAGGGCAAGCTAGGAAGCAGGGAAGAAAGCTCATGAATGTGCATCAGCTATCTTGAGCAGGCTCCTCTTCATGCGGTCATGGGTGGGTGCGATATCATGTCGGTGCACAGTCGAAGTGCCTTGATTGAACGTCGAAAGCGAAAAACATACGTGAATACATGTCACTCATACGGCATATCATATCAGCTGTGATCCCTACAAAAGTACTTGACACAGGCTGAGGCGAGTGGAGCGAGGGAAGCGTGAAGAAGATAATGGCTAAGTCGGGTCAGTGTCAAGAGCGTAGGGCTGCTCTATCACCGGAACGTCGAAAGTCCAATTCCCAACTTGCACTAAGTTGGGGAATTAGTGTCTGTTCGCAAGTTTTATAGGCTACGGCGGAATATCCTAGCCTACGATCGAAAGTCTAGTCTCTAAGGGTCTACGTCGATGTATAAGTGTGTTCAAAGTCTAATCGAAGTACAAACTACCCCTAGTGGTGCAAACAATAAGGCGGAGTCGATGGCGCTTTGGTCGAAAATAGGATGGCGATCCTCGTATATGATTCGGTCGGCGGAATATGCGTTGCGGAGTCGCACGAACGTGGTAAAAATAGGGTGCGGATGTACGGCGTACAGGTCCGAGTACCCAGCGCACAATACGCAACCAAGGTAAGTGCCGTAGGGGAAGAACGGCAAACGTATGAGTGCCTGGTTGTTTGCACCGAGCGCGGTACTTGCGTTGCGCACATGTGGCGATGGCGCTAAGCGCATGCCCCGGCCGTTAGTGACGGCGGTTGTGCACTAAGATGCGGCAATCTATGCGGGGATCTCTCTGGGATTGGCGAGCCCCAAGTGGGATCTATAACTTGCATGGGCGGCCAAGTGGCGGCATCTAGCAACTAGCATGGGCATAAAGCCCTATAGCCGAGCCTTCACGGCAACGACAGCACACGGCATGACAGCTATCATGCGGTCATGGGTCGGTGCGATATCATGTCGGTGCACAGTCGAAGTGCCTTGATTGAACGGCGAAAGCGAAAAACATACGTGATTACATGTCACTCATACGGCATATCATATCATTCGTGATCCCTCCCCCCAAGCTGGCGGAGTCGTCCCGACGGAGCGTCAGTAAAAATCAACAGAGATAGCCGTTCCAAATCGCCTACGTTTTTGACGCAGCGAGAGGACAGTTCGGGCAAAACCAGTCGCCCTTAGGACGTGTCTTCATGAAGTTAAGCACTTCATGTGCCAGCCGGAGTCGCAGTTGTCGCAGAGCGGCATGGGACCAGTTCTCCGGGTGACATCAACGAGTCCGCAAACCTCGCATGCCTGGTCCTTCTCTTGGTTGTCTGCCAGAGCGGGATCCTGGTAGAGGTCGATGTTGGGATGGTGGCAAGGCGCACAGTTCTCAACATGCTCTCTGATGGTCTTCTGATCACGGCCCTCCAAGAGCAAGCGGCCTGTGCCGAGCAGCTGCTTGACTCTGAGGATGATCCGGCCTGTGTCAGGCTCCATGGAGTTGGTGGACTCGCGGCGCAGGTAGACCAGGTCTCCGACTTCGAAGCGCTTGAGCTTCGGCTTGAAGTTGCCAGAGCGAGTGTACGCGTAGCGCAGCGTGTCGCGGGTGGGCTATGGCTAGGTTGTTGAACGCCATGGGCATAGCCTCCTTGAACAGCAGGGCGCGATCTCGCAGGATCTGCGCTGAGCAGGGGTGAGTCCAGGTTGATGGGCTCATCAACGACGTCCTTGATACTTGCACCCACGATTGGGTGGCGGCCGTAGAGCAAGTAGTAGGGGGAGTATCCCCCCAGCGAGTGGTGGCGGCTGAACCGGTACCCCATCGCAATCCAATGGAGGAATTCGTCCCAGTGGTCGTGGTCGTACAGCACGCAGTATTTGCGCAGTGCCTTCTCGAACATCTGGACGATCCTCTCGGCCAAGCCGTTGGATTGGGCATGGTCTCTGGACGTGATGCGGTGGTCGATGTACACCGCAAGAAGGAGTTCGGCAAAAAGGCCCTCGAACTCCGTTCCCTGGTGTGTCAAGACCTCTGCGGGCGCGCCGTAGCGTGCCAAGATCTTGATGAACGCGGCTTTCACGTTCTCTGCAGTCTTTGCAGAAATTGCGGCAATTTCGATCCACTTCGAAAAATGCTCGATCATGACAATCACGTACTGGTTGCCAGCGGTAGAGGGGAAGGGCATCTTGAAAAGATCGATCCCCCAACGGTAAAACATGCCCATGATTGGCAGAGGTTTTAGTTCAGGGTCCTTCACCTCGAAGGTGGCCTTAACGCGGTCGCAGACCACACAAGTGCTGACCTCCTTCTGGACGTCTCCATACATCCCGACCCACCAGTATATGGGCTCGAGCAAGGAGTACGTTTTCTTGACGCCGTAGTGTCCCACATCCAGGTGCACGCGGCGAATGAGGTTCACGCGCTGCTCTGGTTTGGGTACAATCTTGACTTCGCCAGAAGAGAGGCGCTTGCAAAGCACGTCTTCCTGGAAGTGGTAGCCCTTAGTAGGCACGGTGCCAGATGCGGTCCTTTGCAAGAGCCGTGGCAACATCAGGATAGGTGCCGTGCCTCACGTAGGTCATTACTAGCTCATCGTTCCAGATATCGCGGTCAACTGGCAACTCTGGGTCGATTGGCTGGTCACGCGGCGGTGCGACGGGCAGCGCGGCGGGCATGGCTCGAAACGACTGAGTCCTCGTCAGCCGTGGGGCTGACCAATCTTGCCAGGCAAGCAGAAATGGCACCAGCTTCAGGTTCAGAAACGTGGTCCATTCGGGCGTCTGTTAAGTCGTGATCTGATGGGAGAGGGTTCCGCGAGAGCCCGTCCGCATCCAAATTCTTGAGACCGCTTCGGTGCACGATCTCGAAGTCGTACTCCTGGAGGATGTTAGCCCAGCGGGCGTGCATCCCCGAGTCGCATGTTGGTCATGAGCCACTTTAGAGGCTTGTGATCCGTAATCAGGGTGAAGTGTCTTCCCTAGAGGTACACGCGGAAGATCTAGACTCCCCAGACAGCCGCAAGACACTGTCCCTGGTAGCTCGAGTAGTTGCGCTCAGTCCGGTTGTTACTCCGAGAGGCGTATGCAACTACGAACTCCGTGTTCTCCTCGTCTCTCTGAGCAAGAACGGCGCCTAGGCTTTTGGCACTCCAGTCAGTGTGGAGCTCGAACGGCAGGGCGAAGTTGGGTCTCCTCAAGATAGGAGCTTCGGTCAGCTTGGCTTTGAGCGGCTCAAAGGCATGCTAAGCTTTGGCCGTCCATCCCCATGGCACGTCCTTCTGCAGTAGCCTGTTCGGAGGGGCGGCGATGCTGGAGTAGTTCCGAACACAGCGCCGATAGTAGCCAGCTGTGCCGAGAACGTGCCCCTTGTTGGTGGCTTTGGCCGTTCAGAGTGTTGTGGAGCTTCATCGCTTGGCAGCTCGGAAGGCCAACCTTCATCATCGCTACGTCACCACCAAGCATCACGGCGTGTACGAAGCCATCAAGATCGTCCCTGCGGCCCGTCACCCCAAGCCACGGCGTCAGCACCGGACCGGCCCTCCCGCCGCTCCAGCCAACGCCCCGCGTCACCCACCTCCTACACGGGTTCCGCGCGCTGCCTTGCCCCGGTGGCCCGCAACACCACTTGGCGTAAGCAGCACCGTGCCGACACTCCCAGGCCCCCAGGCTTCGAACAAAACCGGCGCGTGCATTTTGCCCCTTCGGCAAGATTGCACCAGGGACAAGCGTACCAGCACCAGCCCGCACCTTGCCGGCTGGACAGCAAGCCCGTACCAGGGCCGTTACCAGCCTGCCCCGTACCGCCCCTCTGTCGCTGTTCCCCAAGTACCCGCAGTACCAGAAGAAGCCGTACCCCCATAAGTACCAGAAGAAGCCGCCCCGGAAGTTACATGATCAAGCTCAAGCAAAAGCCGCGAGGCGCAAAGAGGTGCATCATAAGCTATCCAGCCGTGAACCCGCCATCGTCACTAAGAAGCGCGAACGAAAACGCGCAGAGAAGAAATACTCCCGCAAACGCACTGGAACGCAATGTCTCGGGCGCAATCCTGACACGCCATTAAGTTTCCGTCCAACCGAGGAAATTGATAAATTCCGCTCCAATGCGAACATTGGAAGGTTGAGCCTAGGCTTCCGCAGTGCCGCCGAAGCGGCTGCGGCAAACCGGCCACTTCCCAAGATCCCCGGGCAGAGATGCGGCAGTGTCGCCGCGCCGTTGCGGCAGTGTAAATTTTGCCGCTTACCACTTTCTTGGGCAACGGGCCTTGATGTCAGCAAGAAGGAATACCGTACGAATAATATAATCGAGTTGACCATCGATGAATTTACGGTCTTAAATTTGCCGTTGATACGCTCGGCCAAATCATCCCGCACTCTTCGGGAAGCGCTGCGGCGGCGCTTACCACTTGATATTGCGGCAGCGTGTGACGGTTGGCCAGCTTAAGCGTAGTGCTGGCGAGATAATTACGAAACACTAACGGCAGCCATGTGCGGAAACCATGGTTGCAGGCATTCCCGGACGAAGGCGCTTGCTCTGTAAAAATGTTGTCTTTCAGCTCAAGACAGTTCTGCTTGCTGGTTTGGAATTTGCACCTCGAATGATCCACGCAAGTTGAACCAAGCCCTGTTCCTCGCTCGCATTCAGAGAAAGACGACCTGAATCAGGGAGGGGCAGTCTCGAGCACACTCGAGGTCTGCATCCAATCATTTCCAAGTCCTTCTTTCAGCTGTTGAGGTAGCTTACTTACGACCGCATAGTAGAGCACAGTGCGCCACGCCAAGCAATCCTGGTCATGACAGCGACTGACAGTGACTAACGAATTGTTTAGGACTGAAGAGAACTAAACACAATGATTGCCCTACCATACATCTTAGCCTTGGTGGCATAATTACAATTAATTATGTCACATCAATACTGGCCACATGCCAACACGTCGGCAAACTGGCAAAACCCGAAGGTTAACACTTGTACGATTGTGCGGTTAGACTTAACCATAGCCCAATCGTCACAATGCCCCGTTGCCACTCCTCGGCTTGTTTTACGTCCTCCGAGTATAGAACAATTGACGGGACATTTACTTGTCACGAAGAGACAACACTTACTATCATTAATTTTGTCGGACCTACTAACTACTCCGTCTCAAAACAACCAACTCGGATACGGCGTTGTGTGGGAGCTTAGTTACTACAAGTAACTATACGGCTCTGACTGAATACTAAACAATAAGGACGCCCCAAGCCCTTCTAGCCGTTCTTCAAGTCAATAATCTGCTACCGCCTCGGGCGCGTTCACGACATATTTCTCTCGCTCCCACGGATTATGTTCTGGACCATAACCCTTCCAGGATACGAGATAAGAGGCGCAAGGATGACGTCGTCCTCAGAATCGATGACTCTATATCGAATCCACCTCATACTCCAGAGCACCTTCCAATTCAATTGGTGGTGGTGGGGGTACGTTGTACCCGTCCGTTTGACCTGTAAGGCTCAAGCAAAGATACAGGAAATACATGATGAACACGCCAGCCTGGATTCATCTTTAGCTTGTACGCTACGAGACCCACAACCTGCTCGACTTCAAATGGACCAATCCATTTGGGGAGAAGCTTGCGAGATCTTTCGATGGCATACTTAATGTTAAGGTACTTTGCACTCAAAAGAACCGTATCTTCCACAGCGAACGTCTTCTCTGTATGACGCTGGTCTGCATACGCTTTCTGTCTCTGTTGAGCTGCAATCAAACACTTGCGAGCAAAGGTGAGAGCAGAATGCCAACGCTCAACGAAAGCAACAAACGCAGGGTGCACATCTTCCAACGTTTCACCCGGTGGAGTCCTTGGGTTAGTGTAACGATCTGCGCTTCTACCGGTCTCCTTTAAAATCGTTACAGTTAGTTACTCAAAGCGAAACCCCTATCTCTGGGTACAATGTACCTAGTAGCGAGTGTACATTTAAGCTAGGCTTTAGACTTGAAGGCTTGAATGCGGCTTCAAGTGAATTCAATCGAGTCTATAAGTCGTTGCTTTATCGACGGTGCATTTGAGCTCTTCTCGCAAATCGACGGCTCTATAAATATTGAAATTGCGTTCGGAATTTCTTATATTTGATTTGTTTTGACGGCCCAAATTGATCCACAGGTTCAACATTGCCTTGGCTCTCTTTTTGATCGTAGATCGCACGCGTCATTATGCGAATCGTCGAGTCAATTATTGCACTCGAATCTAGCGACGGCTGTACGAAATAAGTCGCTTTTCATTTAAGGTCTGCAGCCGGAAAATCCGCCGAAAATATCGACGGCCGGTTAGACTTTAAATTAACCGAAATCCGTACCTCGCGAGCTGGTACAAATCGACTTCAAACCGGTACAAGTCACGCGACTTAAATCCCGGATCGCGTTGGCAATAATGAGCACGACTTTGATGGCGCGACGCGCGCGCCGCCAAGCGCGTTTAGGGCGCTCGCCTTCCTCAAGCTCAAAGCCAGCTGAAAGCGACCTGAGTCACTTTCAGAAAGCAGGCGTTAAAACTAAGGAGGCCATTTTCCTTAGCTCAACCAATCACAAAGCAGCTTCCTTTGGAATGCCTTGCAGGCGGTGTTTTGGGACGGCGGCGACATACGCGCGGCGTCATTGGAGGTTTCTAGGCGCGACAGCGACAGGCTGTGCAGGGAACCTGGACGCTCTCTAGCTGGCAAAAGGTTGCATAACCAGGTGCACGCCAGTTGCATAACCTAGAGTGCAGAAGCGAATTCATCTTACGTTATAGAGTGCTGCAGGACGCTGCAGACCTCTAGGATGGATGGAGCGACTAACATTCTGCTGGCTCTTGAATTGGAGCACAGGTCGGACGAAAGTTGCTCATTCAACACGCTGGCTTCTAGCCAGAAGCGAGGTTCGCAATTCTCCCAAGTGTTGAGCTCCCGCAACGTACAATTCAAGCTTCCGCTAAACTCTGTGTTGGGGGTTCTGAGCATCGCAGGCTCGGGGCTTTACCAGCACGCTACAGTTAGAGCCGGAGGAAAAAAGGTGTCTCACCTACAGAAGAGTGAAACGCTGAGTTTTGGGCAAACTCCGCTCGTGACAACAGAGTGTCCCAGTCATTTAGCTGCGTAGAAATAAAATGACGAAGATACGTTTCTAGCATTTGATTCACACGTCCTTTCTGTTTGACCGTCAGTCTGCGGATGGAAAGACGAGAACGTAACGTGCCTAGTACCAATAAGCTCCGTCACCCCTTTTCAAAACGCACTCGTGAACCGCGTATCACGATCTGTAGTTTAAATTCTTTGCTCAGGCCATGGAGACGCCAGATTTGATCAATATAGAGCTCTGCAAAATCTTCGCAGACAAGTCTTCTCGACAAGCTACAAAATGCACCATTTTTGTCAGCTTATCAACAAAGACACAAATACTGTCGTTCCCACGAGCAGTCTTAGGCAACTTAACAATAAAGTCAAACTTGACAGTCTTCCAAGCTTTCTCAGGAACGGGAAGAGGCTGCAATGCACCAAACGGCCTGTGACGCCGGGCCTTCCCTCTTTGGCACAAAATGATACA